AAGCTGTATATATATATATATATATATGGTAAGACTGAGACGAGAACTAATGTGCGTTGCACTGGAAGACAATGCCAGCATCCTCAGGCATCCTCCATCCACCATCCTATCCATATCCTGGCCAACTTCCCTCACAGTTGAGCAAGCAAAGCAATTATTTATATTTTTGGCTGAGCATTTCTCTCCTGCGGTTTTCGGGGCTTTTCCAAGGAGGAGGGGGTAGGGGAATGGGAAAATCTTGTACGCCAGCTCGAAATTAAAGTCACACATCGCAAGGAGCAGCACAATAAAAATGTGCAGGGCACGCAAAACGTGCCGGGACATTCAAGTGGCCAGGACATCCATGCAGTTTATGGCCAAAAACGATGGCCCCGCTCTGACTTTGGCCTGAAAGTAGTTTTCATTGTTTTCCCTGCCTTCGGTTTTATGTGCCACACTCTCTCTCCCTCTCTCTCTTTCTTAGTTCGGTTTGTAGTGAGTGTCCTGTGTAGTCCTGCAGTCCTGTAGTGGTGTCGTTCTGTAGACTGTGCACGACGTCTGTTTTGTTGTGGCCACAAGCAACAAGGACTTCTAATTAGCACACTGTCAGCGGTGGTCAAAAAGAGGGGCTTCCACAGGGGGGTTTCCCAGCGAGGGGGGAGGGAGGGGGAAAAGCGTTGTTGGTTGGCAGGACAATGAGACGACAAATGTGCTTAAATGGCCGAGTTGTGGACGCCACTAAAAACTCAACTAAAACTGAAATTGCACGACGAAAAGGACGCGAAACGGAAACCGCAAACTGGCAAATGGCTGCCACTGCTGAAGGACATTACCAGGATCCTCTAGCTTTCTCTCTCGCTCTTCCCCGCTCTCTCCATCGCTCTCTTTCGCACACATGCTACTACCTTTTTGTATGCATAGAAAGCGGTAGCGGCTTTGAGCCAAAAGAAGAAAAGCGGTGGGCCGCTAAGCGCCTGATGTCCTGGCCAGTGTCCTGCACTCCTTCGGCACGACCATTATTATGGGAATTTTCATTCTGCTCTGCGCGTTTATTTCCATTTTGATTGCAGTCCCCCCCGTTTTTTTTTCGTGTGTATTTCGGTTGGTTTTTGTCCTCTTTTTTTTTTTTTTTTTTTGTTGAGCTGCTGCCACTGCCCGCAAATGTATGCAACACATTTCGTATGCAATGGCCGCGGCAGCAAATCCGCAGGATCTGCGAAGGGAAAAGGGCTGGGGGGGAGGGGGGAGGGGGGGTCCCACTTCCGTGCTGGTTTGGCGGAAATGGAGGCGTCAGGTCGCCAGAAACGACACCCAGGGCCAAAAGTGAAATCCGAAGCGCCGCTGGAAAACACATGCAGTCAGTCGGCCAGGACTCGATTGCTCGACTGCTCGACTGTTGGATTGCAGGATTGCAGGATTGTTGGATTGAAACCAGGCCAGGAAAACCGGCGGGGCGGGGGCAAAAGGGTTTCCCAGAGACCAGAGGAGCGACCAGAGACGGCCAATTGAATGAATGTGTGTGTGGCTCTGGTTTCAAGTGCCGCCACTCAACTAGCACTTATTGCATGCGACAAACGACAGCAGCAGGCACAGGACACACAGGACACGAATGCGAATGATGACGGGATGGGTTCGCTGTTGGCCGTCGGCCGTTAGCTGTTGGCCATCGAATGGAAGGCAGGAAGGCAGGAAGCAGGCGGACAGGCGGGAAAGGACTCTGCTCCGGATGCGGCCGCAAACTTTTGTCGTTTTTTCAATTTCAATTTTTCACTGAAGTGCTCGTCCTTTCTACCTCCTTTCCCTCTCTCTTCCCTCTCTTTCCCCCTCGGCTCGGCTTATCCTCGCCTTCTCTGTCTGCACTTAAAGCAGTTAGCACGATGACCATCATTGGCATATATCCATGTATGAATTCGAGCCCATTCTCCGCCTTTGGGGCCATTTGCTGCATATGGCGCTCGTTGCATGGGGCAAGGCGTCATGTAATTGTTGAAGGAGCAACATAGAGAGAGAGAGAGAGAGAGCGAGAGCGGGATAAAGGATCCGCAGGAGCACACACACATACAGATTACGTTTACGCAGCGTTGCGATGAGGATTTTCTGGTGCCTAAGCGGCCGTGAAGCCAGAAAACAAACAGAAATACAGAGAATGGCTGGCCCGACTGAGATTTAATAAAGTAAATCGAGTTTTTGGGTACTCTAGCCACATCAAGTTCTGCTTGAGGCACTTCTACTTGCGGATAATAATCACTAGTGTTGGATGGAAAAATATTATAGAACTCAAGGGTTTGCAGAAAGGTAAAAAGTCATTAAAGGGAGGTAAACCTAAGGCAAATAAAGAAGTATTTTTATTATGCTTATTTCTATGAGTGAGAAAAATTCAGAATATCTTAGGATTGTTTTTTTTTTTTAAAGGGTATAAAGGTGTATCTTTTTTGTAAGATCTCTTTTAAATGAAAAATATCCAATTAATGAATAGCACATAAAATTAACTTACCTTAAATGAACAAATCTACTTCAAATTTAATTTAATGAATTTGAAAAAATATTTTGTTAGTCCGAGATAATCAATTTTCCTCCTTCACCCCAATATCTATAATTTATGTACTCCAACCAGTTAGCGCATTCGGCCAACTCCTTAGTATCATGGTAATACCCTCAGAAAAGTAACTCCCCTTCGAAGTGGAGGGATGGGCACTCACCTGGCGTCATAACTGCCAACTGCAGACGCTGCTGCTCCGCATTCTCGTACGGCAGACTGCAGTTATTACGGCCGTAAGCGTAACTGTTATCTGTTTTTGTGCCCAGGCCCCCCGTTTTCCCGTTATCCCGCTTTCGTGTTCGTGTTCGTGCTCGTGTTGCTGTTCCTGTTTCCATTTGGGAAATTTCAGAAGTTCGTTGATTTCTTTTTTCCCCATCCTATTTTTTTTTTGCTGCTGCTGTTCGTCGTTCTCCTCTCATAATTTAATATTTACAAAGTGGAGCAGAGCAGAGCTGGCAACAGAAAACTGCAAAATAATAAAACGAAATTACCAAAGGGCCCCAGAGAGAGAGAGAGGAAAAGGAAGGTTGGTGGGGCAGCTGCAGGAAATCTGCGCTGTGCATTAAAAAACGCTTAGGGCAGCAACTTTGTCGCCTGCCAGGCGGCTCTCCACTGTCCAATGTCCAGAGTCCTGTGTCCAGTGCCCAGTGCCCTGTGCCCAGTGTCCTGCGTCCAGTGTCCTGCTGGCTGGCTGGCATTGTTCATTGACAGTTTGGCTTCCTCTGCCGAATCTCCGCATTTTCTCTTGCTCTCTCCAGAGAGAGCGAGAATCCTGCTTTTCCCCCCCGCCATTCCCCGTTTTTCCCGCCGAGCCTGTCGTGCATTTTCAAATTTGTTTGTTTTTAATTAATTGCACGCGGCCCCTGCGAGGACGATGTGCCCAAAAACAACAGGAACAACAGCGGCAAGCGGAAGCTCATATGTGAGTAGGAAAATGGGTGGGAAAATGTGTGGGGAAAATTCGGTGGCAGGGAGAGGGGAAAAGCGACAGAGGACTGCGTGCTGGACAGTGATTAAGCGAGTTGAAGCCCAGTCTGTAATGGCGTTGGCATGCCAGGAGATTTTAGATAAAGTCCCCGGCCTACTCGCTTTTCCTACGCTTTTTCCCGCTATCCCCTCCCTTTTTCCCCTTTCCCGCTTCCTTTTCCACTTTTCCCCTAGGCGTGGCGTCGCCCTGAAGTATGCCATAAAAATGTTCGGACTTAATTTCGATTAATTTGCCAGAGTTTTCCCATTGTGTTTGCCCCACTCTCTATCTTTTTCCCTCTTATTTTTGCTGTTCCCATTTTGGCACAATTACCAACACCATCAAAAATGAAATCAAATTGAAGTTTTCCCCCTCAAAAAAAAAAAGAATACGAAATAAAGAAAACCCTTTTGCCTTGACAGCACCGACAGAGAGAAAATTTGCATAAATTTTAAATTTCAATTTGCAGTCGACGAAAAAATAAAGAAAAATTATGCAAACCAAGAAAAAAACAGAAGAGTTCGAGACATCTGCAGCAGCAGCCAAAAAAAAAAAAAAAAAAATACCGAAACGAAATTAGCAGACAACAAAGAGACTCTCTATCGTTCCACATCCTTTTTTTTTCTTTTATTTTTTTTTTTTTTTTTGACTAGTCAGGCGAACGAAGGACACCCCTTTTTTCAGACGGTAGCTAACGCACTTTCCCAGCCGAGATGATTGTGTCCTGCTGCCTTTTGCCTTCTGCTTTTTTGGCTTTTATCGAAGAAGAGTGAGTCCTCTCGGTGCGTTTTTCAAGCAGGTCCTCTGTCCCATGTCCTGTGTGCCATGTCCTTCGTCCTCCATCCTCCAACCTCTCGCTTCTGGCTCGTTTTACAAATTCTTACACATCCGGAATGGAATCACATGTGGGTTTCGGTTGTGTGTGTGTGTTTGTGTGTGTGTTTTGGTCAGGGTTATAACGGAAAAGGAAACAACTGGCATTGGCAGCCATACGACGTTAAGGATAATCGTGATGACAGCATATTTTGTGACCTCCCTCCGCCCTCCAATTTTTGTTCCTTCTATTTTCTTGGCCAGCTTCCGCTTGTATGGGTATTCGGTATTCGGTTGGGTTCAGTTCGGATTGCTGTCAGTTGGCTGTCTTTAAAATGACATTAAAAACGGCCAAATAAGCTTAGTGAGACATCCCAGCAGTCACTTCTGACCCCGCCAAGCAAAAATAAGGAATGGCGAATCGAGCGAAACTAAACGCAATTTAAAATAAATCACAACACACACTCAGCTGAAATGCTGAAAAAGCTACACCCATTTGGCTGTGTCTTACAAGTGGGCGTGGCATTCAAAGTCGCCTTGTGTGTGACTGCAGATTGATATATCTGAATCTGAGACTGCGCTGCTTTAATACTTTCGGGTGACAAATGTGAATTTTATGTTGATTTCCAGCGCAGGAGCCGAAGGATAAGAGCTTACTCTAATATTTTCTGTGTGTGCTCTTTTTTCTCCATTCTTTTGCAGATGTTCCTTGGATTGCTTGGGTTCTTGGCCAGATGGAAATCTTAAAGGAAAACGGATGGGAACGAAAGTCGAGGTGAGTGGCTGAGTTACTTGGCATATTAAGTTTCCGCTTAGCCAGCAGTGGAAAGTTTTTCAACTTTTTCTTCTTTGTGGTGGTACGTTAACCCCCTGCCGTGGGCCACACACATCGCGTATACGCAGTGTGGACTGACCCTATTAATTGAACGCTTGTTTATTTATGGGCCTCGTTATTTGAGTGCATTCAAGTGTTTTGTACGGCAAATGGCCACGCCTCCTTGACGGGGGCAAAGGCGGGTGCTATAAATTGTTAAGTTTTATCAGCCGCAACAGCAGCGGCGGCAGCATGAATAATAAGGCAATGCCACGCCCACTTTCGCATTGCGTGCTCGAGAAGCAAAGTCCTGAAAGCCACAAATACATGCACACACCAACTGGAATACAAGCATACACACACATATACAGACACAGACATGGACACGCACATGCACGCACAATTGAAGCGGAAGTGCGCATTGTTTCCGCTTTTAATAAGAGTCGTCGTTGTTCGATGTGCGGCTGCAACACGGCTCTGTTCTGCATATGCTCGTGCATAATAATAAAGCATGCTGCATGCCGCCGCCGCTGCCGCCGCCGCTCGGTGCAAACAGGATTGGTAGTCGGTCGGATCGGGCCATAAATTGCATTAAATTGCATTTAAATGTGTCGGACAGGTTAACAATGCGAGGAGTATCCGCCATAATTGATTGTAAATTAAACCTAACTTTGGCCTAGGCCCTTTTTAAGCCACTGCCACTACCACTACGGCTGCTCCTTAAATTGACCGTAATTATTCGAGCATTTTAACACTCCACATCGCTCTCTCTCTCTCTTTTCCCCCCTTTTAATTTCCAGGCTTTTGAGCGTGAAATGGCCAAGGATACAAAAAAAGGAAACCAAAGTTGGGCAAACTAGCAATTTGCTGCGCTCTACAAGGCACTTTTGTCCTCGGGGAGGCGAGAAACTTTAATCTTATCCCAAGGAAATTTGCATTGCTCTTGGCTTGTGTTATTTCTTGTATTTTTTTTTGTGCTCTAGTCCTTTTTGGTTATGGCATGCCTGTCGACAATTAAACATATTCACCATTCACATTAATTGTGGCGAAAGTTTCGGGGCCAGAAAACCGCCAACCTGCTGTGCCACCTGCGGTGTTGCTGCCACAAGCACACACTCAGGATACACATTCTCTCGTTTGTAGTGCCGCCGTTTGTAGTGCCGTATACTCAATTTCTTCTCTTTTAGTCTACTTGTTTTTTTTTTTTTGGTCCTCAGCTGGAACTGACTATGATCTATGGCACTTGGCATGTGTGAAATTGGAGTGGGCTGAAAGGAGGGGGAGAAACACTAGGAAAAAAGTGGAATATCTCTTTTGTTAAGCAGTTAGTATAACTATGAAATGAATTAGTAAATAATTGTAGGATTTTTTACATTTAATGGTAGATCAAATTCATATATGCAAGTTGAACAACTAATTCAATAATTGTTAATCAGATTTACTAAAGTGAGTTGCATTTTTCCATGGCTCTAAGAAAACTTTCCTCTACAATTGTTCCTGCGTTTTCCCCTCCTCATCTCTGCTTTTCCCACAGTGCATTTCTTTGCGGTCTGAGGTAGATGACTTTTGTTCTCCACTTGATTAGCATTCGCCTTAGCCATTTGAGTCGCTTTGTGCTGGAGTGCAGGAGCGTGCCTATTGATGCGTGCTAATTGCGAGGCGACTCCGCATTGAAGTCCGTGCCAAGAATATCCTGAATGCCGGGATGCCAGGCCACCAGGATGCTGGGATGCCACATTGTTATTCGGCCTTAGTGGCTGGTGTGCATAACAAGGAAATCCGTTTCGAGTGCGAGTGGCTGGCTGTGTGTGGTGGCTGCAGTTGGTCTTTGTCTTGGCGGAAGTTCTCGAGAGCCTCCGACTGGCTTCGAGTGTGCTCTCTTCGAGTGTCCTGTCTGGACGTCTAGCTCCACCCATTGGGTCAGCAAAAGTCCTTTGAGAGTTGCAATGAACCACCGATCAGGGAGCAGGAATCGGGAATCAGGGAACAGGGATCGGGAATCAGGAATCATGGAGGAGCAGGGACTAACCCACTGACAGCACTTATCAAAACGTTCAATCAATCAATCAATTGTTGCCAACAAAAGGCCGCTCACCGAAAAAAAAAAACACAAATATCCCCAGCCATACGACCATTTGTAGCGACAAAAAAGGCAGCAACTCAAATCAGCTTAGCCTAAAAAAAGGACCAGCAAATGGGAGGGAAAACAAAATACACAGCACCACTAATACAAAAGGGACATATGCCGGCAGGACATGAAAGCAAAGCTCACTCCCAAACACTCACACACACTCATTCGTCGGCGGCTTTTGTGTGGCGGCTTTTTATTTGTCCATGTGTTCTGACCCAAAGACCCCAGCCGGAAAAAAGCCAAGCCAATGGACTGGCTGGCCAACAAATCAGCGCAAATCGGCCAGACAAAACAACAACAACAGCAGCAAAAAAAAAAGAGAGGAGGCTATATTCAGGCTAGAAAACCTGCAACATTCCGCATGTCACTGCGATCCACAGAGGATGTGTCAGCTTCAGAGCGACGGATTCCCGGGACATTGCCCACCTGCAGTTCTCGTCTCGTTAAAGAACTGCCTACTCTAATAAGCCAATTCAAAGAAGTTCCCTTTGCCAAAGGAATACAAGAGAGAAAGAGGGTGGGAAAGGGGGGGGGTGGCAAGTGGAGGGCTGGTTGCGACAGCAAATGTTTATCCAATGTGGCACATGCATAAATTTATGCTTACACACATTTTGTCAACATCTGCAGCACATTCACAACTTGCCAGATACTTTTCTGGCTCATCCAGCATACACACACATACCATCGTGAGATTGCGGCAGATATTTGCATATTATGTCTATATGCAAATGATGGCGGGGGGCGAAGAGGAGGGCGAAGGAGGCGAAGATGACGACACACACGGCGTATACGTGCTGCATTAACATATCAATCATACGTAGCGCAGCAGCTCCTTCCGCTTCCCGCGCAAACATTTAGCCGTAGATAAAGATGAACGAGTGTCGTCCATGATTTTTACGCTCCTCCCTGTAAACTTGCGCCATAAATTCTAGCCAAGCTGTATGCATTTAACATTGTCGTGCAGCAGTTTATTGGAAAGTTAATTGCCGCGCCGGCTGAATACGATAAATTAATGCCAACTAACAACATTGTCAGCGATAGCCACTTCCTACCTCCGCGTCGTGTCGACAATTGTAATTGTTGTGCTGATTGTTTAATTGCGGCCATTTTGTGATCAGTTTCCGCTGGTCATGCACACACTTACACCCACACACGCACACTACAACCACAGGACAATTCAATTGTGTGCAAATAAATATGCAATACATGACAGTGACTGTTTTTCAATACTATTTGGTTTACAAATTAGCCTCTCCGATTTCGTCAACACGCGCTTAAATCACTCTTGGCTTTTCGCAATTTATATATTTATCCTATATCCTGCAGCTGTTTGCATATTGATGTCATTAAATTGACTTTTTACAATTGGTTTTTGATATTTTCATAATATTTACGGTTTATAATTTCTGATCGACTGGGGTTTTCCTTCCTTTTTTTTAAAGAACCATCTCGCAATGATGGCAAAAAATTATAAACCAAAAAGAAAAAACGAAATAATCGCTGGCAAAACATCTGTGACAACATGGCGTATGATTTATTTGTGCGGGTCCCGCACTCAGTATTTTCGCGGTTATTGGCTGGCGCTTTAAGCCATGTTTGCTCTTTATTGGATTTTATTATGTCGCTAAAAAACCACGAAAGCCCATTAATAGCATTTAATTAGAAAATATTGGCCATTAGCGGTGGACTGCTGCAATTTATGCACTTGCAGGCACGGCAACTCTGCTAATTTTTTCCCATCGTAATGACATCAGTGGAGAGCATACGTATTTTTTTTTGCCATGATTTCAGAGACCTCAGAGTCCAAATTGCGTCATTCAGCTCGGTTCGGTTTTCTCCGCCGGCGAAACGAGTTTTGAGCTTGTTTCAATTATTTGCCACGCAAATACAAAACCCATTTTGTTGGCAGGGCCGGGGGTATTTGTCCCATTACCAATTAGATGAAATGGCTCTGCCCTGAGCTCAGCTCAAAACTCTGTGTTCTCTCTCCGCTGGCTTCTCTGGCTTCCAATTTAATGAATATGTAATGGCTGGGGCGAAAAAAAAAGTTGCCGCTTATCATCATCATCCCCTATCCAGCGAAAACTTGCCGCATAACAAAGCTTTATCAGTCGGCTTGCTATCTGCTCGGGGTTTTTCTCCTTGGTTTTTCTGCTGGTGGCAGCTGCTCCTCCTGCTGAGTGTAAATTTTTTGGCAATCCCCCACGTTTTTCAATCTCAACTTGTAATTGACGCTGTACTTGGCGGGCTGCATAAAAAATAATTTGATTATTAACTTGGTTCCCAGAGTGAGAGAAAAAGAGAGCGGGCGGGGAATTTAAATATTAATTGAAACAGCTAGCAGTCCTTTTTTGGTGGCCCGCGGGACTTGTTGACTTGGCCGCAGGCTAATCCCCGGCTAATCTGGGCCAGCTTTTGGCAGCCAGGCAAAGACCCTTTAAGTGCCACTGGATTGTCCAATCAATTAGTGGCAGGCGAATTATGTTGCATTTAAAACGGGGACGGCAATTCGCGGAGATTTATGCGGCTCATAAATGTCAAAGGCAGCAAGGCACGCACCTCGTTTTGCACAATTAATCTTGTAGATGTCTTGTCGTTCATATATGCCATATATATAGAAAAGGGGGCGTGGCCAAAGCCACAAAGTCGATAATCGCCCATCACCTGCTGTGGGAATTTGGACAGATGTGCGCGGGGTTCCCAATAAAATAATTCATTTAAAATTTACAACTCAGAGGGCCCGAAATGAAAAGAAGCCATATGTCAATTGCAGTTGCACACGGTCGCATAAACAAGTCGTCTTCTTCCTTTTTGGGGGAAGGATGGTCGTCGAGGTCCTTATTCGCAACCCAAGCAGATCCTTGCCCTATCCCTTTCATTTTGGCTTTGGCTTTGGCTTTGGCTTTGGCACACAATGACATGTCAAGTGCAAAATGCAAAACTGGACGCCACAGAACTTTTTGCCAATTGTTCGTCCTCGTGCTCGTTGTCGGCCTCGTCCTCCCCATCGTCCTTTTGCGTCCCCGGCCCTCTTCGTCCTTAGACTCTTGTCCTTGCTGCACCTACAACTTCCGGCCTTTGTTGAAATAACCATAAAATCAAGATAAGTTATTGGATTTGCTGGCAGGAAGCAGGAATAAGCACTTTTTGCCTTTGCCCTTCTGGCCAACGAGTGACTAGGCCTCGTCCTTTGCTCCTTCCTCTTCTTCTTTTTCGCCTTCATGTCCTTGCCTTGTGTCGTAGATTAATTGCTTTTTTTGGGGTGAGGCTCCGGGGGCGACCAGAGAGAGCTCAACTCCTCCTGGGAAAAAAACATTTTTGTGTAATATAAATACGAATTTTTTATTTCCTGCCCTGTGAACTTTTGCGCCTCCCCGACGATTGCCACGGTTAGTCCTGCAGCTCCAGTTCCAGATCCTGTTCCTGCTGCTCCTGCTCCTTTTGCTACTGTAGTAACTGTAGCCGCCCGTTTTCCAGCTGGCTTTTCCTGGCTTTCTTTTTTTTTTTTTGTATAAATAGTGGCGCTCACAATGCCGCAACTCAGTGGGAATGGGTGTCCTCGTTCCACAGCTGGAGGCGTCGCACAATCAGTTTTCACAGTTCGCACTTGCCTGGGTCCTTTTGCTCCTTTTCCCCCTCTCCTTTTTCCCTTCCTCCTGCTCCTTCTCCTTCCATCTGTTCCTGCCTCACTAATGCGATTAAGCCGCTTGTTGTGGCTGTCAACGCGTTGACTGCTCCACTCCCACTTCCATTTCCACTCCCATTCCCCAACCGAGTTGAAACCTCCTCCAACTGCCTTTGTAATTCACTTAAGTGTGGCACTTTGGCCTGCGGTAAACGCCGTCCATTGTTGCCCCACTGTTCTCAGGCACTGATCTCTTTAGCATATAACCAGAGGCCAGCGGGGTTTACCTTTGGCCAACTTTCAGATTTTCGGCTTGGCTCTGGTTTAATCATAAATTTCCCCAACTGGATCTCAGTTGCCATTGTCCAGTGAAAAGCCATCCCCCCTTTCCCCCCCAAAAAAGAGGGCGAAAAAGCCAAGCGAACTGCTGTCAAGTGGTCTTAACCTCTTAACTACATTTTATTTGATGACATTGTGGCGTGTGGCCAGTTTAATCACGATATTACTGCCATAAAGAGTGTGCGAGGCGGCTAACCGAGTTGGACTTTGTCCGCTCACTTGGAAAAATTAGATATCTTGTTGGAGATATTTAAATAGATTTTTATATTTGTAGTTACAGCTGGGATAAATATCGTTCACAGAAAAAAATGGAAAGTACTCCTAAATATAAATATAGTACGTCATTTACAATTCTTAAAGTATCTCTTTTTATTACGAATCCCACATAATTGATTTCATTTCGTAAATAAAATTAAAACACCCATCCACATAAAAGAAATTTAAATTGACAGTGCTGTCAGGATATTTTCTGGCCAATTAAACTCGCATTTTTTCCGCTGTGTCCCTGCTTTTCAATAAGCCCAGCTCAGATTTAGCGTAGGACAGTGCAATTATGCACAAAGAGATTTGGGGAAAGGAGACGCCATAAAAAGTGGCAGCTGAAATGGCGGCGAGTGTGACAGTTTCGACACGCCTTTCAGGACTCCGCCTTCTCGTCCTGCCAGCCTCCCTGCTTTTGGCCCTCATTCACGCACAGGATCCTGGCCCGAAGGCAGGAAGTCTTTACGGGCTCACACGCTCATCAGGAAGTCCCGGCAATCAGGACAGCCAGAGGCTGAGGCGAAAAGGGGGCGAAAAGGGGGCGGGAATGTCACTGGAATGGCACCAATTGGAGTTTATTAATTTGAGGCCGTGCGTGTCGAGTTGTCGACTCGAGGTATTTACAATTGCTGTAAATATTTCCTTTATTATTGTAATTATATTTATGGGAATGTCAATGGGAAAGGACTCGTTCGAAAGGGGGAGAGTTCTCATGACAATGTTGCGTGTTGTCCCCCGGTTCTTAAGGGGAATTAGCAGCACATTAAAATCATTTTTATTGGGCCAACGGCACTCGAGTTTCTTTTGCGGGGGTAGCTGGGGCAATTAATTTAACATTTGCAAATGGCCCGAAAGTATGCAACAATTGTGTAAATTCTGCTCATGAATAAAGGGCCTACAACTAATTTCTCGTTTCTCGTTGCAGGAACGAACAACTCTCGCACACACAGGCACTTCCGGAATGGATGGCTCGACTCCTGACTCCTGACTTCTGAGTCCTGAGTCCTGAAAACTGGAAACCTGAAAACCCGGGGCTCGAAGCCTTACCAACTTGACTCCCAGGATCTTGGCACAACTCGAGTCGGACGCTTCAGGTAATTATGCATATTTAAGCAGTTTTGTCTACAGTTTTACGGGAAGGCGCCTAAAAGGATGCTTTAAATTAATTATTTATGCAAGGTGGGGCCGACATATGCAAACATTTGTTCGCTTGAAAGTCAGGTGCCTGTCAAGTGGACTCCTCACGAGCAGGAAGCCATCCTGTACGTCTCCTTAATGGGTTTATACTCGCATGCATTTTAAAGGAAAGCGCAGGCGGCGGAGGAGTTGGCTGGGAATGGGTTGGGATGGAAATGCCTGCAAAATTAATAGAGGTTCCTGTTCCGGATAATTGCCAGTCGGGCTCTTAAAGTTACCGCCCCGGCCGCAGAATTAATGTCGCTCTATTAATGCTAATGTCAGAGCATCTTCATCCATCAGCGGAGTCCTTTGCCCCCCGAAACTCGTCCTGTCTCTTTGCATTTGTCAATAGTCGAAAGCCGACTTCTATACCTACATATACACAAAGATATATACGTATATATATCTGCTTTTTTGGAGCGCTTCCTTTCACAGCCACACTTCAATACACAGCTTTGCTTTCAGCTTAATTGTTTTGCAACTAAACATCAGTCGGACTGCCTTTCATCCTGCTTTGCATTGTTGTCCTTCTGCCAGGATCCCCATCCACCCAGATTTACTCCCCCTTTTTTTTTTGGTTTTTTTTTTTTTTGCTTTCTGCTTGCCAGGACCTGGCTGAAAGTCGTGTCTAAGTAGCTTTTCTATAAATGACGGCAGGAAGCAAACGAACGAGCGAAATGAAACGAACAAATCTGTAGCGCTCTTTGAGACCGTTAACTGGAATCGGAGAACATGGCAACACAGAGTGGCAAAAACCAGTTGGGAATGAGCACCAGTTGGGTAAAAGTTTCGACCAGGGTGCCCCATCATCCCATCCATCCGGCGGGGAAAAAGGGAAATAGCAGGTGGCTGTTAAGCTGTTGGCATGGCACGGACGTGATAGCTAATTAAAATGTGTTCAAGGCCAGAGTCCGCGAATTGAGTTTACAATTTATGCCACACTTTGCCAACTCAAAAGGGTTGTAAGTAGTCGAGTTACCACAACAACAAATTCAGCCGCATCAGGCACGGGATGGATAATAAGCAGGGGAATATAATGCCGTGTATAATAGACACACCGGGCTTTGGGGCGCTGAAACGTTATTTATAATAGAGATTTATTATTGCCGAGAGGCAATAAAATAACCAGTTGAGAAGGATGAATTGTGGTTGGGCAGAAAGGCATTAGAAACTTTGACTTCACGTTTTGGCTATGGAATGAAATATTTAAATTCGGTAGGTTAAGAGAGGTAGAACTTTAAAGAGTATAAGAGATAGAAAACTTTATTAATTTAACTGTCAATACTGACAGTTTTTTCCATAGACTTTGTAAGAATGGTTTTTATTTAAAAAGAGCTGATATTATTCTTATTAAAAACAAATTGAAAGAAATGTTTGTTTCGTATCCTCTTTGCTTTTCTTAAAATTTTCGGAGGTGGCTCACCGGAATTTATGCCACACACCACAAGTTTGTGGCAGGCGTTATAATTCCCAACTGTGGAAGGCCGAAAGTCCACGTAGACAATAGAACTCATCGGAAATTAGCATAGTTTTAGGCGGCCGAAAGTTTTCAGATGTTTTTGCCAATTTCCGTCAACAATTTACGGGGCCCGAAAAAAGGATTCCGGCGAAATAGGCAAAACAGTCGGTGGTCGAAAAGTTTTTGGCGAGGCGAGGGCAACTTTAAAGGCTAAAGGATATTGAGGGCGTTTAATTTATTGATTCGGGTGGCCCGCAGATAGACAAACTTCGTGGCCCAAGTGGAATGGTGTGTGTGTGTGTGTTTGAGAGTGTGTGTGCAAATTTATACGTTTGGCCCAAATGGCAGTCGAAGGGCTTAACGAGAACATCGAAATCAGCCCGCAAATGTGCGCTTAATTGAACTTTGAACCGAGAACAGATCGAAATCGAATCGAATTTGAAAGGCTCCCGAGTGGAATTTAAACATTTGACTAAATAAACCCTTCGAGGAGCCTAAGTAAATTCAACTGAAAAATCTTCTACTCGAATCCTGTCTCTTCGCCACCGTTGTCCTGTTCTCGCTCTGTTCTCGTTCTCGTTGTCGCCCTCGTTGCCTGTTGTGTGTCCTCCTTTGTTTTGCTTGTTTTGTCCTCGCCTTTTGATAAATGTCCGGCAGCAGGCAGCCAAAAACAAGCACATAAATCACACGCATGTGTGGATAAGGCGGCGGTGGCAGGAGGATTTGGCCTGGGACTCCTCGGACTTGATATATCCCCCCTCCTCTCCCGACGACCAGGACGACCAAGTAGTTAAAGTTTGCCGGCCCGGCCGCACTCAAACATATGCGAGTGACAAGCCGAAGTCGGTAAACTCCCCCGGCACTCCTGCACAGAAAATAAAACAATATTAATAACGATTGTTGAGTTGCAAGCTATCAAACTAAAATGATAAATGCCCAAAGATATGTTTCCCAAAGTGCCTGCTTCGTATTTATAATTTAATTTATTTTATTGAAGCAATTCCTTTTCTTATTTAATTCCAGCTTCAAAATCATTAGAACCTGATTTATTTTTTTACTTTTAAAAATGTTTACAAATATTTGTATTTATTTTACATTTTTCTAAATTGATCACTCTCTTTGTGGTTTATTTTTTCTATCTGTAGAGCTCCTTGCAGCAGGTTGTTCCCATGTAGATGTTATTAAATTTGTTGCCGCAGCACAGATACGACCACAGAGCATTGGTGGCCAAAAAGGGGGTGGTGAAGGGGGGATTGGATGTAGCAAAAAGCCAATTGATTTCCACTGAAGCGACTCCACTCAACTGAGCAGAGCTGCAGCCACAAAACACAAACACTGGGGCACAGCAAAGTCAAATCCATAACCAAAAATCCGAGAGAATTCCGTCAGTCAGTCAAACAGGCAAACAATGCAGAGCCACATATAGTATAGTAGCCCTGTCCCTTTCACATCCACAGCTATCCTTCTCTTTCGGCTGCTGTGACCGCAAATGCCCGAAATTTATGCCAATATTTGCATTCAATGCCCGAAAATAAACCGTAAAATGGTAGCTGCCTACAGAGAGAGAGAGAGAGAAAAGGAGGTGGTCAAAAAGGGAAGAGAGGGAGGGAAAGAGAGGAGGGAATGAAACTGCTGGCCAAATGGTGCTGCATGCTTTTAGGCGTTGCATTTGGGGCAGGATGAGGCTGCCTTTCTCCGTTCTGCGTTCTGTTGAAAATTTCATATTTATGGCTGCAGCCGAGGGTGTTGGTATTTGTGCATTGAGTGCAATAATTCAATTGCACACCTCCGCAAAAAGGAGCAGAAAGGATCAGAAAGGAGGGCAGAGGAGTGGTGTGGAGTGGCGAGGAGGTCCTTCTGGTCAGCAGTTAATGCCCTGGAAAGGCGGACGTTTAAAGCGCTCGAATGAACAGCAACAAGGCTGCACAGAGATTAAAGCGGAGTTGGGCATAATTGGATTTGTTTAGCTGTCAATATTATGTCAGAAATCAACATGAGCCCCCTGACAAATGGGAAGGATTCCCGAGCTCAACTAGAGCGCGACGGACAGATAGATAGCTACATAGCCAGCTAGCTAGATAGATAGATAGATGGATGGATGGTTGGATAGACGGATATGATGGGATTGATATATAGATAGACATCGGATAGGAAGTCAGGCGATATTCCACGCTATTAACTGCCAGCGACGCCAAACAATTCGCTAGCAAAATGACACGAAACTTTGGAAAGGGGGGCGTGGCCCACATGCAAACAAGAATGGCAATCAAAAAATTTGACAACACTCGAGAAGGGGTTGCGGGGCGGGGATAGAAATGATAGAAAAGATGGGTAAGATGGGTAAGAGGGTCGAAAACAAACAGAAGCGGCTGCAGCTGACAGAAGATCGAAAAGGACTGAGAACTTTGAGGGAGATTTACTCAAAGGACACTCCAGTCGAGAGCCCTCATTCTGTTGACTCTTCCCATCGGAATCTCCCTCGAGCTCTCGTCTCATGTTTCCTAATACCATCATTGGCTGTTTCTGTTACTGTTTCTGTTTCAATTATAATTCCCTCATCCTTTTCGGCGACGAAGAAGACGACAAAGTGTTTAAGTTTGGGCTTATAACTACAGCAAAGAACTCTTGAACGCTGGAAAACTGAATGCAGGCTGCTCATTAGATTGTGGACACTAAGAGAAAAGGAAAATTACTATTATTACCATTAAAGATACTATACTATAAATAAAATAAGGGTTAGGGCTTTTAAATTACTTATTCAGTAACAAGATAAACTAAAGTGCTCTTCTTAAATTCTTTCTTGAATAAAAACCTTTTCCCTGTTGGTTTTCCTTGTTCAATTTATGTTTTTTTCGAACACCATCCTCACTTGACAACATATTTTTCTCTCTGCATGCATGTTGGCCAAAAAACTGTGTTAATAAAGTATTTGCTCACTCGAGTGCAGCCAGCAAACACTCGCAAAGTGCGGTTGCCAAAGGGGCAAAAAAGGGGTGCTCACCCAGTTGACTTTTGTAATCAGCAGGCGAGGATGCATCTGCTCCTTCTGCTCCTGCTGCTGCTCCTCGATCCTGATGCTCCCCGCCTGATGTTGTTGATGTTGATGCAAGGTCTGAGCACAAATATCCCGGGCCTGACTGACTGACATCCGTGCTGCACATGAACCCACACTCATTTCGCACAGACGGATCCGAGTTAAGTGCCTGACTTGGCACTGTCATAATTTACATATGCCAAACCGGTTGGCGGTGGTACGGGTTAACCGGGTTACCTGGGAGCCTGTGCGAATATCCTGCCTGCCTGCCTGTCGTCCTTGCTGCAAATGCAATGTGGCTGTTGCACGGAGAAGGGGAAGTGGCAATGGCAGGTGCGCCTTTGTTGGGGGGCTTTATTTATATGAGTGATTAGCCAGTGGGAGTTGAGAGTTGTGAGCCTGTGAGTCGGTTGGCTTAGAGG